CATGGCAACATTATGTGTGCAGAATAGAACTGTGCTCCACAGGGTTTTCATTGGCTGAATTTTGGGAAATAGATTGCCAGGCCCTTCCTTCCAAGATGTCTCTGGGTAAGTATTTGTAAATCTGTAAATATTTCAGTGTGTATGTCTAAAAAGTAGGGACTCTCTTATTAAATATAACCACAATGTTATGCTAAGATAATAATAACTCCTTGATATTATCAATTAGCCAGTGTTCACATTTTCCCAGTTGTCTCATAATTTTTTTTAAGCTTGATGTGGAATTCAAATAAAGAGTATATGAGAATGCTTTACCAAATAAAGGACAATTAGTGACATGCATTTAAAAAAACAACTAGTTGTGGATAAGGGTGCAGTCTATGATGGAGAAGTAGAAGAAAGTTAACAGATCCATATGAAGTTCTCCACCCACTAAAAATACTTAGAAAAAATCATCTAGAGTAAAGAATTCAAAATGAACAATTTGATCACTACTGGTCCCAGAGTGCAGCAGAAAAATGTCCTGGTCATTTTGATTGAGTACTCGACGGCAAATAACAACAACAACAACATGGTTAAAACACAAATGGATATTTAGATTGTCATTCTATTCATTCATTCAAGACTTTTTTGAGTGTCTACCACATCACATAGTCCCTAAGGCACTTGACTGCTAACCAGAAGGCTGGCGGTTCAAACCCACCAGCCACTCCTCAGAAGGAAGGTGGGCAATCTACTTCCGTAGTGATCCAGCCTCAGAAACCCAAGGAGGGGTCGCTATGAGTCAGGTCCGCTCGACGGCATAGAACAACAACAACTACATTTTAAAAACTATTTGAAGAACTGAGGATAGAGAAATACAAAATTGTGGTAAGATGGAGGAATAGGTAGACAAGCGACACAGACCCTCTTCAACAAAGAAAAGAAAAACCAGTTGACAGAGATACAGAAGATAATCCTGGGGCCCTGAGCTTTGAAAAGAACTATACAGAAGTGGATTAGGCACCAACTAGTGGAAAAACCTGAACAAAAACAGTGAGTACAGAGACAGTCGGAGCTGTGGACTGTCAGCTACTCTGATGGGTCCAACAGCCTTAATACTTCCAAGTGGTGTTGGGACCTGAGAATTGACCTAAAGATCAACTCTGGTCACCAAGGGCTGCAAGGACAACTGTGCTAGTGGCCTATGACTAGGAAGGGAAACAGCAGGAAAGGAGACAACCTGAGCTGTTGACTCTGCTGTCCAAACGGCACAGCCATTTTGAACATTTACAAGTGGTGGCCATATTGGATATTTAAAGTGACTGAGGGCACAGTCATTTTGAATGTTTATAAGTGGCGGGCATTTTGGATATCTAAAGTGACCAAGGCTGCAGCCATTTTGAATCTTTACAAGTGGCAACCATTTTGGATTTTAAAGTGATAGCATTCTCATTCGAATTCCAGGGACCTAAGAATAGGCTCTGTTTGCCAAGGTCGGCAGGGACATACAAGAGCCTGACAACCAAAAAGGAGACAGGTGGTGAGTATATAAGAGCTGTCAACTAGTGAATAGAGGAGCACAGTACCCTGTTTGTGTAGATAACATACAAACAAAACAAAGAAAATGAAAATCGTGGGCAAGTCACTCCAACATACAACCACCAATTAAACATAAACACAAAAACATCACAATGCCTTGGAGACAACAGAGCATCACAATCCACACAAAGAAGCAAGATAAAACAGGAGAAGCAAGAGACCAGGATACAGACCCAAGACACATCCTTGAGGAAGACGCAGCATTGGAACTCCCTGATGGGGAATTCAAAAGAATTATATTTAGGTATTTTCAACGAATTGAGAGACAGATCAAGGAAAACACAGAGAAAACCCTAGAACAATTTCAAAAGACAATACAAGAACAAAGTGACAAAATAAATGAAAAATTAGAAATGATACAAAATCTACAGACAGAAATCCAGAAGATGAATACTAAATTTTCAGAAATAGGTAAGACATTGAATGAGCAAAGGAGCACAATTGAATCAATGGACACAGAATTAGGGAGATTGAAGGCAAATACCTAAATGCTTCTTTGAAAAGGGATAAATAAAAAAAAGATCAAAACAAAATGAAGAAAGCCTAAGGTTCATGAGGGATACCATCAAAAGGAACAACCTATGTGTCATCGGAATTCCAGCACAGGAAGAGAAAAAGAAAACCACAGAGAAAATTGTTGAAGATTTGTTGGAAGAGAATTTTCCTGGTATGATGAAAGATGAGAATATATCCATTCAGAAAGTCCAATGAACCCCAAACAAGATAGACCCCAAAAGAAAATCACCCAGACATATCATCACCAAACTTAACAAAAACAAAGACAAAGAAAGAATCATCAGAGCAGCATGGGAAAAACGAAAAGTTACCTACAAGGGCAACCAATAAGACTAAGCTCAGATTTCTCAAGAGAAACCATATAGGTGAGAAGACAATGGGATGGTATACATAAAACCCTGAAAGAGAAAAATTTCCAACCAAGAATTATGTACCTAGCAAAATGGTCCTTCAAATATGATCGTGAAATTAGGACATTTCCAGATAAGCAGAAATTAAAGGAATTTGTTAAAATGAGACCAACCTTACAAGAGATGCTAAAGGGTGCTCTTTGGACAGAGAAGCAACAACAGCCAACAACAACTGACCACTGACACACATGATGATATAACCCAGAAACCAAACCAGCTATGGAAGTATCCATAGTAAATAAGCCTACAAGATTGTAAACAGGGAACCAGAGACATCAATTGAAAAATGAGGACAACTACAAACCAAAAAGAGGGAAAAAAAACTGTGTCGGTACAGAACTTCTAGATGGTAGGAAAGTCAAGACAACTACAAGACAGAACAGACTGTTCTAAACTTGGGAATAAAACTATAAATCACAGGGTAACTTCAAAGAAAAATGATAAACCTTCACATCAAAATAGAGGACCAGCATAAATATTCAACAAATACTAAAACAACAGCAATGAAGGAAGTGATAACACAATTCATAAATAAAATGAGCTCAGCATAGAAAATTATATGGAACAAAGAAATTGACACCATGAAAACGCACAGAATAAAAATGACAGCAACAAATTCATATTTGCCAATAATTACATATCTGGCAAGGGACTTATCTCTAAGATTTATAGTGGAAGAGTGGATGACCAAACTATGGTACATACACATAATGGAATGCTTTGCAGCACTAAAGAATAATGTAGAGTCTGCAAAACACCGCATAATATGGATGAACTTGGAGAACATTATGCTAAGTGACATAACTCAATCACAGAAGGACAAATATAGTATTAGTTCGTTGTTGTGGAGGGTCAAGGAAAAGTTTATATATGGAGGGAAACTTTCTTTGTTGGTTGCCAGGGGTGGAAGGGGAGGGGAGAGAACACTGCAAAAAAAAAAAGCATTGACCTATGTCACTTTAGTTTTGTGTATTTCACTGCACATAAATTATATTTTAATAATAATGCATTTTAAAAAAAAGAAAAAAAGAAAGAAATACAAAATTGACCAAATCTGTGCCTTCATGAAGCTTACTTACATTCAAGTGCAGGATTCACACAATAAACAAATATGTAAGACAGTGGCAGAGTTAAGAGCAATGATGACAAATAAAGCGAGGTAAGGAATACAGGGTTGGGGCCATTATTTGAGATATAAGAATCATGAAAGATCTCAGGAAGGAAAATTTGAGCAGAAGCTTAAATGAAGCAATCTAGATACTGGATCAACTTCACAGATTAGGAAAACACATTTGTGACTTTGCTGACTTTACCAAACTGCACCTTCACTAAAGTGATGATTAACTGAGTCTTTCCATTTATTTTACCTTGATTATCTGACCATGTATAATTGGTCCCATGATTAGGCAGGTTAAGATTCAGACTACATATAATTTCTCTACTGATCATTAACTAACCCTGGGTTTAGTTATTAACCAAAGGTCTGCTCTCTTTCTCTTGTTCATGTGACCTTGTTTACATTTCTCCTTGAGTTGCAGCTGGATTTTATCTTCCCATAATATTAAATACGGTCTCTCAAATAGGACTGCTCACCCATGCAGCTAAAAGCAGTATGCAGTCAAAGCTCTAATTCTCCTAGTTAGGAATGAGAGATGAGACAGTGGACAAAAATTAAACCTGCTATTTTCAACCAAAAAACTACTGAAGGCCATCTTCATGTTTAGGAAATGAATACTCTGAAAACAATGAGAAGTAAGGGTAAAGGAAAAGGGAACACTGATACATGTCAATGTAGGAATCCCAAGAGACTATAAAATAATCTCCGTGGAGAACTAAAGAGTAGAAGGGAAAAAACAGAGTTATTACAATTTGGGAACTCTCTCAAATGGTTGCCCTGACTTCTGTCTTCTATGTTCCTATTATTCCCAAAGTCAAAGGTCAAGTTAGTGGTACACTACCATATGATGCATCAGGGAAAGACAAATGTTTTCTAAAATTTAGGTGAGCAGTTGTGAACACTAAGTGAGGAATTAAATATATGTGCATTACTAAGAAAGATTATTGAAAAAATGAGAATGAAGAGCAAGAAATCCCTTCATGAACTTGTCAATAAGCAAAAGGTTGATAATTAAACCACCAAATCCTTATTTTCAGGGTCAGGCCTATAAATTCAAAGCAATTTTTAGAAGATGCATCTATCTGCACAGAAAGATAATGCTCCCTGGAACTTCCTTTATCATTAAATATCACTTAACAGAACTAAGAAGTACAAGGCAAAATAGTAGCCACATAGTAGCTTTATAGCATATCATAGATTCTGGGCTAGTAAAAAGTTAACTGGTTGAGATTTGTATCATTAGGGGAGAAAGCAAACAGAGCAGCCAATTTCTCTCCACTGTGTACAAATGCAGTCTAAAGAGAGCTTTTCATAAAGAAATAAGAAGCAATTAGAATTTGCCTAGAGAATCATGTTTTCTTCACTTTTGTTTCTTATACCTGAGAGATGTGACTAAAATACTGCAAAGCTGTCTCCACTGGGCTTTTGAAGAACATCTTCTCCTGAGGTTTCAGCTATGATGAGAGTGAGAGAAACAATGAATATATTCACAATAGAATGAAATAAATACTGAGAAATATAGTAAAGGATGTACCATTCTTTCTAAAGCTCCTGGTATTATTTCCACTGTGTTTAGGAGCTCTGGTAGCATAGTGCCTAAGGCATTTGACTGCTAACCAGAAGGCTGTGGTTCAAACCTACCAGCCACTCCTTGGAAGGAAGGTTGGGCAATCGACTTCCATAGTGATACTGCCTTGGAAACCCAAGGAGGAGTCGCTATGAGTTGGATCCGACTCATAGGCAGTGAGTTAAGTAAGAGAGGGATCACTGCTCTAGGAGATGCAGACTACATGCCCTAATTCTCCTATCTCACGCTTCTGTAACAGTGCTCACAAATACTTCTTCTAGTTTTTTGCTTACCTTCTTCTTAACAACTACTACCTCTGGGTTTTGTTTCTTTCCCTCTCTTTTTAAAAATCTGTCTTTTTTTATTCATCATCTGTACTTTGGGCATATTTCTTACAGGCTAGGAATGGGATGAGATGGTTTGTGGCAGGGGGATTAAAAACTTACATTATCAGAAAGAGCCAGATGCTTGCAAGCAGCTCCACAAACAGTACATTTTTCTGTGGGAAAAATGGAGAAAAATATTTGGTTCTCATGAGCATGAGGTCAGATTTTCCTAAAATACATTTTAACAGTCAAGTAGGTTAGCAAGAGAAAAATAAGAGAGTTCTTACTGATTTTAAAATATTATTGTGCTATAAAAGGATATCAGCTTAAGATCTGATCTCTAAATCAGTATTTCCAAACGAGTATGTTGAAGACAAATAAGGCTCTCACACTAGACCTCTACCCTTATCTCCTTCTCTTTTTTCAAATTCCTAATTTTTTTCTGTGAATGAGGGGCAACTGTAACCACCATCAACACCAACTTCCTTCCAACCACTTACTTCCCCCACCTCCACGAAGAGTAATGAAGTACTTCCCAGAATACTGGGAAGAGTACAAGAGTACCGGTCCTCTCAACTGTAAATTACTCTTTGCTATCCTATCCACCTGACAACAGGATAATATGGGTACTCAAACTCCTCAATTATTCCTACTCTATTCCCACTTTGCTAATATTCCTAGATCTTGTTTTGAAGCTTTCCTCCTCTCATTCTCCAATTAACTCAATCTGAAAGATGTGAAAATCAAATTTTCTAATCTTTCCTTATAATTTGAATTTCAGTAGTAGTGCTGGCTATTGCTTGACATAAATGCCATGTCAGGAGAAAACATCACATGACATGTACTTCACAGACAAATTACTCCAAAGTGAGCTGCTGTTACCTTAGTAAACAGCTTTGTTGCATTAGCAGATAACTTAAAAGGATCATGAGATTCAGGTAGAGGCAAAAGTTTTCTCCAGAAAACTCCTGACTTGGGGACTAAAAGTTTTTCCCTCTCAGTCCTCCATATTATTGCAAGCATGAGCTATTAAGTGCAAATCATTTTTCTATCTAAGAAAACAAAACAAACAAACAAAATTCCATGCTTTCCATCACCTAAGAATGAAGTTGAGGTTCTTTGGCCTGGTACATACAGCCTTCCATCATCTTTCCACTGCCTGGCTCTTTAGCCTCACTCTCACCATTTCTTACCTTACTCTTTAGGCTCTACCACTCCTGACTATGTGTCATCCTTGCACTATGGTTTCATGACGTAGTATGCCTTTATACATACTGTTCTCTTCAGTCAGAATGCATTTCCCTGCCTTGGCCACCTGGAAAACTCCAGTTTATTATTCAAAACTGTACTGGAGCAGCACCTCTTTGTGAAGTCTTCCCTGATCAAAGCACCCTGCCCTAAGTCCCTCTTATGAGTTATTTCTTCACCTTGTAAGTATTTTAGCATAAAAATAAACCCTTAAATTCAAGTCCCATTTCTAAGACTTAATAGCTATGAGAACTTGGTCAAGTCACTTGTGTTTTCTGAACTAGTTTTCTCCTTTGTAAAATGGATTTACTAAGAATCACCTCCTGGGGTTGTGGTGAGGATTACATAAAATTTGTACATGTGAAAATGCTTTTTAAACTGCAAAAATATCATCATCATCATCATCATTATAATTTCTAATCAAATTGATTTCACAGGCTAGACTTCTTCCCATTAGAAATGGTTATTGATATCAGCCCAACTTTCCCTCTGTGCCTGTTCATTATTCTTTCTCTTCTCCCTGATCATTCTGATCCCTTGTGACTTTCCCTGTCACAGATTTCAAAGCACTGATGGATACATTTTGGTACTCAGATAACATATATTCCATTTGCTAAGTAATTTTTTATTAACGGAATCTTCCAATTTCCATAATCAACAGTCTCCTACATTATCCACCCTACCACTGATTGCCTACTATGTGATTTTTATCCCAAGACATAGAGAGAAATGGCAAATCATTATTCCTAGATTTAATTATTTTGCCTGAATTTTAAAACTTACTTACCTGGACTCACACACTTTTTACAGAAAATATGGCCACAGCTGGTGACAAAGAAATGAGCCCCATCTTTTCTGAAACACTGGTTGCAGTGAAACCAATCCATTCTGGAGCAGATAAAGAGTAAGAATAACCTGAGGTATAATTACAACTGTTCCAAAATTTGTTCAATGTTTGCTTAGTTTCTGGTATCTTATTCGGATGTGGGCATATTACTGTGGATATTCCAATTGGTTGTGTTGTTGTTGTTGTTATTTGCCCTCGAGTCGACCCCTCCTTGGGTTTCCGAGGCAGTATCACTGCGGAAGTAGGATTGCCCAACCTTCCTTCTGAGGAGT